CTTAAGAGGTTTGAGGGGGGAGAATCAGCAGATAAAGTATCAAAGAAATTTTCCAAAATAAAAAAATTTAAGCCCTGGCTGCTTTTGCTCAGCAGTTAGAGCATCAGCCTGCGGACCAGAGTCCTGGGTTTGGTTCTCGCTAAGGGTACGTACCTCAGTTGCATTTTGTCCCAGGCTCTGGTTGGGATCATGTGGATGGCAACCACCTGATGTGTCTCTCTCACATCAATGTTTCTCTCTCTTTTCCTCCTTCTCTCCCTCAAGCTCTAACTGAAGATAAATGCAAAAGTGTCCTTGAGTGAGGATAAAAAAATAAATAAAATTTTAAAACACTGTCTAAACTGTGACTCAAAATCCAAAAAGAATAAGGGGAAAGATGGAGAAATCTGAGTAAATAAAAATACATTTTTGCATTGGAAAAATGCCAGAAGCAAAGTAAAAAGAAAAATGACAACGGTATTTGAAAGTTTTATCACAGAGGCTTAATTATCCAAATATACAGAGAACCTAAAAATTGAAGGGGGGAAACAAAGCTATACAAAAATAGGCAGAAGACAGGAACAAGTAGCTCACAGAAAAAGAAATGCAAATGACCTTAAACACATGAAAAGATGTTCAACCTTACTCACCAAATTTAAACTACACTGAGTCACCCTTTCTTCTGTATTAGAGTAATCAAAAATTAATAGTTTGAAAATATACACTCATGAGGCATGGAAAGACAGGCACCCACATACATTGCACATAGGAATGCAAAATGGTACAACTACTGTAGAGGAGATTTTGGCAATACCTAACAACCAATATATATGCATTTATTACCCTTTGATCCAAAGATACATTGACAAAAATGCGAAATCACATATGCACAAGGATATACACTGCACAACTATTTGCAATAATAGGAAAAAACACAAATGCCTATCAACAGGGAACTATTTGAATATTCATCCACTAAGGAAATAGTATGAAGCTATAAAAAGGGATAACAATCTCTACATACCTCTCTGGAGGGCTCTACAAGGGCATATATATTTTTAGGTGAAAAAGGCAAGATACAAAACAGTATATGCAAATACTACCTTTAATCTAAGAAAGGAGAATGTGTGTGTTTATAATGCATTTGTTTTTAGGAACAGATAAGCCCAAAACTAGTAAATATTATACCTATAAGAAAAGGAGTAGGGTGGAGAAAACTGAGATGAAAACTCAACTTATCTGGATGTACTTTGTTTTATAGTATTTGTTTTATAGAAACTTTGTTAATGTTTTGCATATAATAAAACAAATCCAAATGGAAAAAAGCAGGATTGAAAACAAAATGAAATAAATCAACTATCAACTAGATATCAGGTTGGCAACCATATAACAAATCATTTCATGTTTTTAAAATGCAATGATTGTGGGGAGAAAATGAGAAACATCTGTAACAAAAACTAATTAATAAAAAAAATTTTTTTAATGCAATGATTGTACTGTACATATCCAAGTGGAATATATCCTAAGAATAAAAAAGAACTGCAGAGAAATCCTGAACACTACTCAGGAATCATATTGTTGATAATAAAACTAGTATTGTTAATTTGAAACAGTTACACATAATATAGGATAAGAAAAAAATTAAGTAAAGATATTAGGTACCAATATTTTCAGCAAGAGAGAAAAAGATACAAATATAAAATCAAATATGTAAAAACACCTATAAAATTAAAATTAAATTGGAAATATCAGTGCGAATTCTGTGTATTTCTCTTTAAAACATGTTATTTCCTAACTTTGGCCACTATAAATCCTAGAACTAACGACCAACCTAGCAAGAGTACCTGTGGTCTCTAAATACCATCTCCCACTCAAAGGAACCAGGCTTCTTGGTGGCCAGAAATGTATAAATGGGCCAGGAACATGTTTTACCAGAAAATGAGGAAATTATCAAAGACTACTGATCACACCCAAGTTTATAGGAGCCAACTTAAAGGGGCCACCACTGGCCAAAGACAGGACAATATAATATCCAAATAAATAAAAATAAAAAAGGACTGCAATAGGTTGAAACAGTTCAAATATATTCATGTCAATAAGTTCATGATGATTTTTTAAAAAGGCAAAACCCCTCATGGTTACCTTTGGAGGTTGTTAGGCCACCAATTCATTACTGTAGTCTGAAAATAGAGGGAAAGAAGTAAGCATTTTTCTTGCCTTTCCTGTACAAACTGTATTTCAAACAAATGATGGTAGTCAAGTAGCTGGTGGGAGAAAGTTGTTCTTCATGAAAGATTTCCAGCTAATAAATATTGAAGGAATGATAGAATTAGAAATCACCGTATTGCATCTCCTAATGCAACAATGGATATAGGCAATCTAAATCCATCAAAAGACTTCACGATTAAGTGAAAGGCTCATGGGGAATTTCCTAATGGATGGATGGGGCTGACAACACCTGAACCCACTACACTGCTCAATCTTAACATCACAAAAAAGAGACAATTCATTGTGTGCCTCTCCGATAATTAATGCAACAGGAAGTGTACTGCACCATCTAGGGAATCTTCCTGCCACAACCAAAAAATAAAAATCAAGGCTGAATCTGATCAAGCTCCTAGATCAGTAATGTTCAACAGAACTTTGTGCAATTATGGAAATATTTTATATCTACACCATTAAACAGTAGCCAGGAGGCACCTGTGACGACTGGGCACTTGAAACATGGCTAATGTGACTAGGAAAGTGAATTTTTAGTTTTATTTCATTTAAATTCATTTATATAGTCACAGCTGGCTGGTGGCTACTATAGTGGACAGTGCAATTCTAGATCTAACTACTAGTTTAATGAAAACAAAGGAAAAAGATATACATGTTAAAGGATACCATGCAGATACAATTAGCTAAATCTAGAAAGTTAAGGGGGAAAGGAGAGCAAGGGAACTGCTGTATTTAAAAGATTTAAGAAGTGTATCAATCAAATGCAACATGTGGATCTCTACGGATTTTGACCCAAGAAAGTTAATTATAAAAAAGATATTTAAAGGACAGTGGGGAAATCTAAACCGAGACTGAATACTGATATTATGGAATTTTTATTAATATTCATAGGTGGATGACAGTAGTGTGGTTTTGTAAAACTAAACAAACCTAACTCTTGGAGGAAAAAAAAAACCTAACAACATAAAAATAAAAAATTCAGTTCCTGAAACCCATGTCAATGTTCGCTTCAACTGAACTTCAAATTAAGTTGACCTTTTTTTTTAAGTAAGAAGCTCTGAGAGTGGACTACTGATGCTGTCACCATCTGCCACCTCTACTACAAAAACAGGAAGGACCACGCAACAGTCTTCCTTTCAAAGTGAAGAAAACGGGATCAGTACAATTAGCAGACACAATTACTACAAATAATTTTAAAAACCTGTTTCTACATACATTTCAAAGGGTAGTGTGATAATGTTTATAAATTTTTAACACATTCTACAATTGTCTTTTTTACTGTTATATTGATCACTGATAATATACAATCAAAGGGCAAAAAGGTCAGGGTAAAAATCAACCTAAAGATGGTACCACATTCCAAATAAGAAAATAATACACATTATATCATTAAGTTGCAACTATAAGTCTAAACATAAATATTTTAAGGTAACATGTAGCTGATGATCCTTATTATGACTTCCTTTTCACACCTATAAAGTGCAAGCATGTGGGGAACTGCAGAACTGAAAATAGATATGATATCCAAATATCTACAGGGTACCTATCACATCACTGATTTATTAAAGGAATAAAATAACACTTAAGGTTTCAGAATCGGGTGTAAGGTTCAAGAAAAACTACTTTGTGCCAGTAAGTGTACTGTAATTATAAATGAAGACTAGCCACTGACATCAGGCTCAGCTTCACTCTCTCAATGTTGTAAGGGACATAAGAAAAACCACATGAGCCTAGATTTAGTCTTCAGTATCTTCATTACAGTGTTCCTAAGGGAACCATCCTTTTCACACCCTATCATTTACTTCCCATGCACGACTTGCATGGGGCAATCCATAGTTCAGGGTTCCCCCAACTTCAGTCCCTCACGATTCTATTTGTTCGTCCATCCTGCGTTTTTAAACGAATTCGCTTTTTTTTAAATAGCTAAACTTCCCACCTAACTGAACCGGCATCACCTGCCGTCGATGACCTAAATTGCAACAATGCTAACAACCTAAAAGAGGAAGCCTGGGCAGGAAGGTAAGTGCCGGGGATCCCGGGGAGCTGGGGCCGGGGGCAGCTCGCCCACCCCGCCGCCCTCCCGCCGGCCCGGCCTCCGAGAAGGGCTGACCACCTGGCTGGCCCGGACAGCGCGCCCGGCAAGGCCATATCCGCCTCCGCGGGTCCGCTGGCCGTACGCGGCGAGGCCGAGGGGCGGGGCGCCGGGGCGAGCCCGGGGCGGTGGAGGCGGGCCCGGCGGCCTGCGGGCGACAGCGGCAGACCGCCCCGGGCCATGCAGCCCGGCGGTCGGCGGCGGCGCCGCCGCGGCCAGGGCTGCCTCCGGACTAGGACACGCCCGCCCCTCGCCTGTCCTCCGTGCGCACATGCGGTTAGGGGGCCGCCGCACGCGCCCCCGAGCCTTCCCGCCGTTACCTCCGGCCGGGGGCGCGCGCGCGTCACCGCCAACCTGACGTCCAGCCTCCACCGTCGGCACGTTGTTCCGCCCCCTGCCCCTTGCTTTTAATGGAAACAACCTCCTTTCTGACCTCCCCTCCGCGCAAGCAAATGGGCTCACCCACATCCGGGATTGGAGGAAGAGGAACGCCGGTCACGTGGCGTAGAGGGTGGGCTCGGCCGACAGCGGTGCGTCGCCGGGTCGGTAAGGGTTTCCCGCGCCCCTAGCCCAGGTTTTGGAGGGCGGGAACGAGTTCGTTCCTCAGCGTCACACTCCCCCCACTCCCATCGGCCGGAGCCAGTGTCCTCACTTCATCCTCTTCATCGCTGCCCTCACCGCACTCCAGGTCGGGTAGAAAGGGACTTGCTGTTGAGCATGGACCTCGACCTCCCCCCGCTCCCACTTTTGGTATATCCAGCCTGAGGCCGGAAGTCGGTGCTGTGGGGCGGCCTCACACACCTGTACAGAGGGTGGTGGCCTGCGAGGGTCATTTCTAGCGAGGGAAAGGGCCTTCTTAGCTCGATCTTGAAACTACGTGTTTACAAAATCCTGAAACCCAGGGATAGATAAAATCTGCCCCTGCCGGGGGAACGCACGCACGTGTGTCTGGAAAGAGCATGAAACAGGCGATATGACAAGCTCCCAGCCCTTCATTGCGCTTGGGGAACTAGGACCCGCGGAGGGGCGGGTACCGCGCTCTGCCGGGCCTTGAAGGACGCCTGCTGGGGGAACCAAGGTTTTTAGACCGGCTGGGGGTTAGCTGGCTGGGGAAAGGAAGAGGAAGAGCACTCCAGGATTGGGACTGTCACACGTGTAAGAAAAGTTTGTTCAGGAAACTGGCAGTGGTTAATTCTGTCGAGTGTTGCAAGTGCTTGGGACACTGCCTTTCTCGATGCTTTCCAGCCCCTTAAGAGTGAAAGCACCTTAGCGCCTAACTCGAAATGGGATAGTGACCCTGGTGATCTAATTCTCAAGTTGAGTTTGAAAGGAAAAATAGAGGTTAATGATGGGGGAAGGTGGCTTTCAAGTGCAAGGGGTGGAAAGTATGCTAGCAGGTGAAAAAAGGATTGAAGCCCAATTGGGGAAAGATGTGTTGAGCCATTGATACAAAATTTACACATAGGAGTTGGAGATAATACCTGAGCAATCCGTCACAGAGCCAACCAAATATGTTTAGTGGATCATGAGAACAAGAAGGAAGGGTTCAAGGGCATAATGCTGCTGAAGCTGGAGTGATTGGAGAAAACTTGTACACAAAAGGTGGAATCTTTGTGAGCCTGGAAAAATCAGCAGGTTTCAGTTAGCAGAGAAAAAGGAGGAGGGTATCCCAGAAGCCAGAGCATCAAGCACAAAGGAAAAGGGAGGGCTCCTGTAGGACAAGGACTCTAGAAATATAACTTGAACTGAGGGTAAAGACCTCTTGTTTAAACATTTCCTAAAGATGGATCCTTCTTGTTTTGAGTTATTTACTGGGTAATACTGGATTAATTCTTGTGTGAAACATTAACACCTCATCTGGTTCACTGGTTGCAGAAGCAGCTGGGCACCTTTTGCTTCAGTTTTGCCCAGATCCTTATCATGGAGGTAAAAACCCTTCCCTCATCCCAACCTGTATAATTATCACCCAAGTATTAGGCCAATCTTGTTGGGGACAAGCACAGGCCTATATGAAGGAGCTGGATTCCATTCCCAAAGATTGTTTCTTGTATGAGTCTTTATACTCTTAGAAGTGGGAGTGATTGAGAGTACCTTTGGTGCCATTGGCTTCCAGGCTATTGGGACAGTTGTTTTGTAGCAGGGAGCCCAGTGGGGTGATACCTGTGATGAAAAATAGCCCAAACTTAGAAACAAGGAACCCAGAGGTACCTTCCAAGCTGGCTAGAGCTGTTTAGGGGGAGAAAAAGAAAGAAAAATGGGGCATCAGCCGTGACAAATAAGTATCTTGACCAGGCATTAATGGGCATACAGCATTAAGTAAATCGGGAAGCCCAAAGAGAAGAAGAAACAAGCAGCCTGGAGTCCTACCACTATTGCCCACCTGGAGATGCTGCATTCAGGGCCCAGCCTGGGTGCCATCTTAAGAAAGGAGGCCATGTCCTTTACAAGCTCAGCTGAGGATTTCTGTCAGGTCTGTGGTTGGTCACTTTGTATAACCCAGTCCAGTGTTTTCTCAGTATGTTCATTTAGCTTCTTAGCCTAAACGTGCCAGTATTCAAACCAACGCAGGTGGTGACTCTTGTAGGAAAGGCTAGAGGGACCAGAGAGGAGACTTGGTTATGAGTCAGGGACTCATCAGAGGCATGCTGAAAAGGGAAAGGTGTATGTGCACATTAAGAGAGAAAAGCTACATTCTCGATGTGCTGTGGCCTTGAAACAGAGGCCCTCAAGTATGATGCTTTCTTGTCACATTATGATACTGGTCTGTCAACTGAGCTATGTCTTATGTCCAGTGTACACTACAAAGCATCTTTCAGCTGGAGGTGGGGGTGGGGCAGAGAGGAGGAATTGTGATCATATAAATAAATTGCCACCTGACCCAGATGAGAAGATGAGTCTTTCCCGGGGTGATATTACCCCAAAAGACATGTCGAGGTTGAGAAGCCTGGGGAATCCTAGTGCTGGATTACATCACCTCCTAAATCTATGTTTTAGAAATAATCTCTTTGGCTTACAGATTTGACAGGATCAAAGCTGCAGGACAATGGACAGCGAAGTACAGAGAGATGGAAGGATCTTGGATTTGATTGATGATGCTTGGCGAGAAGATAAGCTTCCTTACGAGGATGTTGCAATACCCCTGGTAGGCTATCATTTGTGCTGAGGATGATAAGTTAAAGGTATGACTTGGTAGGCCCTAATAGAAGTTGAGTATCAGTGGGCAAATAAACTAGTACGGCAAAGAAATCAAAACTGTGGACTCCATTAACTTTAGAAGCTTCCAGAGAGCATCTAGACTTTTTTGTTTGTTTTTGTTTTGTTAAACCTCACCTGAGAATATTTTCCCATTGGTTTTTAGATAGAGTGGAAGGGAGGGAGGGAGAGAGAGAAACATTGATGTGAGAGAGACACATTGATTGGTTGCCTCCTGTGCGACCCCGACCGGGACCAAGCATTGAACCTGCAACCCAGGTAATGGCTGACGTTCTAACCACTGAGTCAAACTGTCCAAGGCTAGACTTTTTATTTGAAGAGAAATGTGTTTCAGAAAGCAGACATGACCAGCTCAGTTAGGGGTCATTCCAGGACTGGAGCCCAGGTCTGAGCCATGTCAGTCAACCACACCAAAACCAGTAAACCAGACAGTGAGAGTTGAATGCACAAGATGGGGAAGAAGACGAAGTAGTGGCATGTAAGCTGTGCGTTATTTCTTATTCCCTACCTACGTCTTGTCAGTCTGTTGACATTTTTATAAACTCACATTCTTGGAAAACACACCTGTCCAAGTTCCCTGGAAAATAGTCAAAAACATCTGGCTTTTCTTTTGGCTTTGGACCAACAGGCTCCTGAAATAAACTTTTCTGCTCCCTGGGAAATTGCCCTGCAAGGAGTTTGTTAAACCTTATATAATAAATAATCTAAAAGTTTTGCTTGTATAAATGCATATTAAATATCCTGTTTGTGTCATAGAACACTTCGAAGGACAAAGGGATGGGGGCCAGGGACTGTTATTCTTTAGAGTATGCCAACTGTCCTGAGAAGAGCTGCTAAGATAGAGCATGCAGCATACAGGTAGACTGCTGTTGCTATTGCAGAGAAAGGAAATTCAGCTCACTCACACTTTCATTGAAGAATAAGAGATAATATGTTTAACGAGTAATACACATTTCAAATAATAAGTCACAGCTTAATTCTTGTTTAGAAAAATAGTCAAGCCCTGGCCAGTTTGGCTCAGCGGTTAGAGCATTGGCCTGCGGTCCTGAGAGACCCGGGTTCGGTTCCCGCTAAGGGCGCGTACCTCGGTTGCAATTTGTCCCCGGCCCTGGTCGGTCGTGCGGGTGGCAGCCACTCGATGTGTCCCTTTCACATCGATGTTTCTCTCTCTCTTTCTCTCTCTCTCTCTCTGTTTCTCTCTCTCCCTCCCACTCTACCTGAACAAAGAATGGAAAAATGTCCTCGGGTGAGGATAAAAAAAAAAAAAAGAAAGAAAAATAGTCAAAAGAGAGAGTATACTGAGAATTTTAGCTGCCACATGGTGAATACTAGTTTTATGCCATGGACCACGAGGTTGAAATTTGACATATATTATCTGTAATTTTGGAACAGCCTTGCAAGGGTGGTGGTGTTATCCCCATTTTACAGGAAAGAAATAGGGTCAGAGAGAGGAATTTACCCAGACTGGGTAGCTGATGAGTTGGACTTCACACCTAGGTCTGTGAGGCTCTGGATTCTGTCCTGTGAACTTTGATTTTTTTCACTACACAGGTGTTTCTTTGAAAGCCTCTGTGTGCAGATTATGTAAGCATAAGATACAGTTTCTGCCCCTGGGAGTATAGAGAGGTAACACATATAAATAAATAATTACAATAATAGATTTCTAAGTGGGGGTCATGAACAGCCACCATGATGCTAGGAAATGGCATCAGGAAAGGCCGCGGAAGGGTAATATTTAAGTTGGTCGTAAGAGAGGGCCAGAAGTTAAGTGGAGGTAGACAAGGGCACTCCAGCAGTGGGGACACTTGTGCAGAGGCTCAGAGCTTTGAAAGTATTTGACAGAGTGAGGAGAATATGTTTATCGTTTAAGGTAGGCATAAAGTTGGGCTTGGACTACATTTTGAGAGGAACATTTGATGGCTTGCTTAGACCTCATCCTCGGGATATCCAGGAATGAATAGTCTTCAGAAAGAAGTCTGCCATGCTCACATGTACGTTTTGGGAAATCAGTTTAGCAGCATTGTCAGAGAATGTCTGCCATGGAGAAAGTGACAGGGCAGAGAGACCAATTAGGAAGCCATGGCAGTGGTTTAGGTAAGGTAGGAGGGCCTGAACATTGGCAAGAAAATGGAGGGGAATGCCCAAATTTTGGACCTGCTTATGGCAGGATATGGGAACCATTTGTGATGTAGGGGATGAGGGAGAGGGAAATTTACATGCTGACTTCCAGGTCGTAGCCTGTCCCCGTTGCTAATCCATGTCTTTTCCCATGTCTTGTGATTCTAAGGCATCGTGTATATCACTTAGCTTTGGGGGCTGCCCAACATAGTGGCTTAAAACAATAGCTACTTATTTCATGATTTTGTAGCTCAGCTAAGATGGTCTTCTGGTCTTCGCCAGCTGGGCTGGTCCCTGCTGGACTTGCCTGTGCTCTGCACTCAGCCAGCAGGCTAGCTGGAGGCTGGTAGTTCAGGACACTCTCATGTGTGGCAGTTAAGCAGGCTGTGAGCTGGGACAATGAGTTGACTAGGCCACAGTCCCATTATCCAGGAGATTAGCCCAGACTGCACATGGCCATCTCAGGGTTCCAAGATCACCGTCAGAGCAAACTGCCAGCTTCATGGAGTCCAGGCCAAGAACTGGCCCACTGGTACCACAGCTGCTTTCTGTTGGCCAGAGCAAGGCACCTGGCCAATCCCAGACCAAGACTGGGGAAATAGACAGCTTTCTCTTTTCATAAGAGTTGCTGCAAAGAATTGTGGTCATTTTTACAATGTACCATAATAGATGGTTGCATTTATGATACTTTGTGTTTGTTTTCCAGACACATAGGTAATTTTATATGTTGGCTTTCATTGCCAAGAGACAGTAGTGATCAAATGAAAGACATTATTTTAGAACACATACCACAGATGGCATGAAATTAAGCAAAATTGCCTGCCTCTGGATTAATAATTCATTAAGCAAGGACTTGTTTATGTTTTGTCAGCTATTACTAATTATTGGAACCAAACTTTCACTTTAAGTTTGAACGTATTATTGCTTTACGGTAAATGATAGTTCTTTCAATTTGTACAAGTATGTTTGAATTTCAGTCTTTAACATTTGTAGAGCAGGATGTATGTGATTCAGATATACTTGTCATAATACATAAAATAATTTTACATATACTGAACATAATTCTAAAGGAGGAAAACATTATGTTCATATACTGCAAATTGGAATCCATTGGAAAAGCATAAGTCTTGATAGTAACAGTTTGCTAACCCTAAAAAAAAGTGTAATTTCAGATAATTAAAAATAAATATATTGGGCCCGGGCCAGTTTGGCTCAGCGGTTAGAGCATTGGCCGGCGGTTCAGAGAGACCCGGGTTCAGTTCCCTCTAAGGGCGCATTCCTCGGTTGTGGTTTGTCCCCGGCCCTGATGGGTCGTGCAGGTGGCAACCACTCGATGTGTCCCTTTCACATCGATGTTTCTCTCTCTCTCTCCCCCTCCCACTCTAGCTGAACAAAAAATGGAAAAATGTCCTCGGGTGAGGATAAAATAAATAATAAATAAATAAATAAGTAAATAAATATATTGGTATCAGTGAACTCTAATACAAAGCAGAGTCCTGGTAGTAATACATTTAAATTTAAAATATAAGGAAACATTCTTTTTCTTTTTTTTTGGTACGTGCCCCCAGCGGAACCTGAACCTGGGACTCTTGGGTCCACAGGCTGATGCTCCAACTGCTGAGCCAAACCGGCCAGGGCTAAGGAAACATTCTTTTTTTTTTTTTAATCCTCACCCGAGGACATTTTTCCATTTTTTGTACAGATAGAGTGGGAGGGAGAGAGAGAAAGAGAGAGAGAGGGAAACATCGATGTGAAAGGGACACATCGAGTGGCTGCCATCCGCACGACCAACCAGGGCCGGGGACAAACTGCAACCGAGGTACATGCCCTTAGCGGGAACCGAACCCAGGTCTCTCAGGACCGCAGGCGGACGCTCTAACCGCTGAGCCAAACCGGCCAGGGCTAAGGAAACATTCTTAAAAGTTCTCACCGCACATACAAAAATAGTAACTATAAGAGTCACTAACCTTACTGTGGTGACCATTCTATAATATATATGTGTATAAAATCATGTTGTATATCTTAAACTTACAGAATATCATATTGAAATTAAATGTCAATAAAGCTAGGGAGAATATATACATATTTAAATTATTCCTGACTCTACACTAAATGTGGCCCATGGTTTACCATTTTAAGAAAATGCTGGCAGGATATGAATTGGTCATTTGCCATGTTTTATGTTGTCCTGTTCCACCACTAGGGGGTGGTCTCACATTATGTTACATTTTCACTGCTCCCCACTTAGTTCCATTATCATATAGGCACATTGGGTACAGGGTAGTTTTTGAATACATTTCTTGTGCTTAAGGAATATGCCAGCAAATATGATATTCTATTAAGACCAAAAAAAGACATAGTATTGACTCTTTTCAGTTTTCCCAGCCACTAACAATAGCAAATATCCCTTGAGCACTGGATGTCCCCCATAGTGCTGAGCACTTGATCTAAATCACAGCGTTTAGTCTCACAGCAGTCCTTTGACGGGATGGCTACATTTTTCTCTTAATTTCAAAAAGGAAACAAAGGCTCCAAGGTTTGAATACCTTGCCTGCATAACCCAGCAAGCGGTGGAGTCATAGGTTTGGATCCGGGTGGCTTCCAGATCATGCCCTCAGCCTTCTGCCACATCACCTCCTGCACATGTGCTAGAGTCATAAGGCCATCATTCCCTCCTGGAGAGGACCTGAGTGATACTTCGGACACTTCCTCGCGTCTTCTTATTCTAGCTCGCTCTTTAGGATGCGCTTCTATCAATTATGCTGCCTGTTTCTAGGAACTCAGGTTTTAATTCTACGTGCTCTTGAGTGTTAAGGGGTTTGTTGAAGTACGGTTTCCCATCGTTCTGAATGTCCACTGCACCTTTTCAGAATGAGCTTCCTGAACCGGAGCAGGACAACGGTGGCACCACGGAGTCCGTTAAAGAACAAGAGATGAAGTGGACCGACTTGGCCTTACAGTACCTGCACGAGAACGTTCCCCCCATAGGAAACTGACCTAGCTCCCTTCTCGCGGGTGGATTTTTTTTTTAAATACAGAGATACAAAATGTTTTCTTTCAGTCTCGTAATTCTTAGATCAACACTAAAAAATGTATATCCACTTAGTTTGTGGCAGCAAAGTGCAAATGGGAAATATCAGAATGAGAAATTGAGATTTCTCAGGAATGCAGAGTATTTGGCTCTTTGAACCTAAAGTTCTTCCACTAGTTTGTGTTTAAACATGTTTGGTAAAATCTTTGCCTTTAACGCTGACTTTGCTTTACTGTCAGAGTTTACACTTCCCAAGTGCTTATATGTGTCCTGTGGCCGAGGTGCTTGAAGATAGAAGAGGAGCCCCGGCCGGTTTGGATCAGTGGTTAGAGCATCGGCCTGCGATCCCAAGAGACCCGGGTTCGGTTCCCGCTAAGGGCACGTACCTCGGTTGCAGTTTGTTCCCAGCCCTGGTTGGTTGTGCGGGTGGCAGCCACTCAATGTGTCCCTTTCACATCGATGTTTCTCTCTCTCTCTCTGTCTCTCTTCCTCTCTCTCCCTCCCACTCTACCTGAACAAAAAATGGAAAAATGTCCTCGGGTGAGGGGAAAAATGTCCTCGGGTGAGGATAAAAAAAATTAAAAATTTTAAAAAAGAAGAGGAAAAGGCTAAGAGAGGAAGCCAACATAGGGAGAATTACTAACTTCTCATACATCCCACTTGGAAAAGCAGTCTGAGTGGTTGTGTAGGGAGGCTGGAGATGTAATGGATATTCAGAAGCCCACCCTCTGAATACGGGGATTCCTGAGATTCCCCGTGATGTTTTCAAACGTTGGATACATTTATAAATTAAAGAGTATCTGACAGTTCCCTCTGCTCTCCCTGCCACTCCTTTTGATGCATCAAGAAAGGATTGTTGGCTAGATGGACCACTAGTTTTATCTAGTCATGCAATTTATTTTCTCAAAGCCCCTTGAGATACAACTGAAACACCATGAAGTCAGTACTTAGTTATACATGTATTTGTATGAGAACTTATATTTTGCAAAACACATATATTGATCTCCTGGAATTACTTGCCTCCACTAAGTGGTGTCTGTCCTGTTCTTTGTCCAGCCCGTAAACTCTGTGGGAAGGGGCCCTGGCTTATACGTCTGTATCCTTCATTGAAAACACTGAATAATTGAAATCTCCCTTCTCCTCCTGTTTTTACTGGGTCTTTCTATTTACCTAGCTTTTAGGAGGAAGAAGTATATCACAAAAACCAGTGAGCTGATTTTAGGGTTTCTCTAGAAACCTTGTGTAGCAACTCTGAACCAAACACATTCAGGCTCACAGGTGCACAGAGTCCTGCTGAGAGGTCATTCGGCTCAGAACCCAGATCCCAAGGCACCAACCGGCCCCTCAGATAACCAAAGAAAAACTAACCAGTACAAAAGAGAATGACGATGTTTAGGGGAAAAAATGTATACCAACGGAAAGTGTTTCAAAACAGTAAAGTACCTAGGATTTCTTCCACAAACTAAATAAATAAGGGTTTTACTACAACTATATCTGTGGTATATAATATCTAAGACACTGACATCTGTCTAGGAACTCAGCAGGTGTTTGGATGAATCCAGCCTTGCTTGTGGGCCCAGCCTTTCCCAGGAATATTGGTAGACCAGAAAGCTGTCTTGATTTCAAATGAAGCAGAATATGTATATAATACCTGTGAGGTCGACAGCTATTGGTATATGTGCTTGGCTTATCACCCTCATCTGAGACCCTCCCCCACACCAAGTTTATGACCTGTGAGATGGGGCAGGATCGTAGCTCATTGTATTAGGAATTAGGTGACCAATTCTGGGCCAAATTGTCAGCTGGGGCTTTGGAATCTGCTCATTTAGGACCCGTTCGAGAACAGTGAGCACCAGAGGTTCAAGGCTGCAGTTACAGAGTGGTTTTCAACCATAGGAAGCGAAACCCCCACGGGGGAAAATGCAAAGGGAGGCCAAGGCTCTGGCACCTTGGTTCCTGCAGCTTAGCAGATGAAAGCTTGTGTGTGCCTGTGGGAGGCACCTGGCTTGGTGCTGGGAAGACAGCAGTGAACACAGTAAATATGGCCTCTGCCTTCGTTTAGTAGGATAAACAAGCACTAAACCAAGAGCCATACAAACCTATGATTTCAGATTGTGACATCCTAGGAAGAAAAAATGGATGTCACTTGAGTTTTGTTCCTAGAAACATAGCATGAGGCAGAGTTTCTTATGCACGGGATTTAGAGATGTTCTGCTGTGCTTAGGAGAAACCTGTGAGGGCGGCAGGGTAGGGCAGGGGCGAAGGTGAGCAAAGATGTGGCTGCGGCTGAAGTCTAGTCTCAGGCAGATCCCACAGGATCTGTGGAAACTGGTGGCACCAGGAGTTGTCCCACTTGGAGACCAGAGGCTAGGCCTCTGTACGTATACTGCTTGTTGGTCGTTCATCAGCTCTGTCCCTCCAGCCATCCTCCAGAGAGGGCGTAACCTCTTGGGCATTGCCAGGCTGTGTGGCTCTCCAGAGGACAGTGCAGCTCTGAGCTCTTAGAAGCCAACACCCAGTAGCCAGGGCATGGGTGCACAGACAGACCAGGCGAAGGGGGTCTGGGCCCTGACAGTGACTACTGCAGGGTGTAAGGTATGTGTGGGGGAAACTGATTCAGATGGTATAATTATGGGTAGACTTTATGATAAGTACCTCTTATAGCACATAATTTGACATTTAATTTTGTTTCTGAATGTTTCCCACTCTCCAAGGAAGTAACTAGGCCCTTTGTGCTTCCTGTTCACAAAGGAAGCAGACCCGTTCTAAAACAAGCCTGCCCCTTGCTGGGGAGCAGGGAAGGGACGGAGAGAAGGAGCCTCTTAGGAATAGTAGAAAGCCGTGCCCAATGACATGATGAGCTTCAGAGATTCATGGTGTGGGTGCCCCAAGGAGACCTAAAACTCAGCATTGAGTCTTCCGGCCATGGCAGAGACCCTATAGCATTGGAACCACCTCCTTCGAGGGCCCTGCAGTGAGGACAGCAGCCGTGACCCAGATGGACTGAAGAGTAGAGGTCCTCCCCCATTTTTCCAGATTATTCATGAGCATCCTAAAAGCTTGTGAGACCCCAAGAGAAGCAAAGAACAGTCTAGTGACCACAGATTTAATTTCTGCTTCAGTGCAGCACAGCGAGACCATAAAGATCAGAAGAAAATGTGGTATTTCTTGGACCCTCCTTGAGTTGTGAGTGGCACCTGCAGGTTGGGTAGAAGTGGCCCCCGGAAGAATGGGGGATAAGGAGATCACACAGAACGCAAATAGAGCCGGGAGGTGGGATTGGCATTGCAAACAAGGCTGGTGGGCAAGCAGGTAGGGTGGCCTGGTCAGATTATATTTTACATTTTTAAATCGAAATCACTCTGGTTTTGAGCAGGCAGGAGTTGAAGTGGAAAGACAGAAGAGCTTTGCATTGGCTCATGTAAGAGATGACAGTGGTTTGGACTAGCAGACAGATGGAAATAAAGGAACTTGGAATAGCTCGTAGAGGTAGAAATGTCCAGATGTGCCCAGTGAGTGGCTATTTCATAAAGACGGCCCCGTGGACCGTGTCTGTGTGGTTCTAAAGAGATTTGAGTGCCCAGTGTGAGCCCTGCCCAGGGGTGAATTATCTGAACCAGCCACAGGACTCCAGACACAGCCTTTGTTCTCTGGAAACATAGAATCTGGGTCCAGGAGCAGCCCATCCCTTGAAGCCCAAGGTAGACCCACTTCTAAATAATGTAGTAACAATGACAACAGCTACCTGAATGCTTCTATGTGCTTTAGACACATGATCTCTGTTCCGTGTGTCCACTTTGAAGGTGGATCTTTTTATCCTCATTGGTCAGGAGATGGCAACTTAAAATTAAGTAACAAGTTAAAAGACTTATTCCAAATCACTCAAATTGTAAATGAATTCCAGTGTAGGCTGTCTGATCCCAAAACCCATGCTCCCTCCCTGGACCACATGACCTCCCTGTGAAGCCTTCTGTGACCACTCCACTTTGAAATGGGAAGAAAATTCCATTGGAACACTCAGAACTTCAAAATGTTAACCTTGTTTCTATAATTGGGCTAAAGAACTGAAGGAATAATTTTTATTAGGAACCTGGGAGTCATGAAACATTTAAAAATTCAACCTATTATCAAATCCATATATAACTCATAACTTCAGCAGCATGAGTCATGTTATTTCACTGGTTTTTATTCAAGGTTAAATCCTGAGGGTATTTTTTTTTTCCAATTTTGGTACATTGAGAGTAACAGTCAAGTATCAATGCTGGTTAGTGGCGTACCAGCAGGGGGCATCAATTCCTACAAGAAATTCAATCCCTGGCTGATCTTTTGGCAAACTTGCAGATACTAAATAAATGTGGTGTCTTGCTTGGAAGTGATTCTGCATATGTGAATCCTGGGATTCTGGCCGCCCACCCCTGGGCTGGGCAGCTCACCTAGTGGGCTTCCCACTGGTGCCTCTCAGGAGGCCAAGTGAGGGCACCTGGAAGGTGAGGGCAGCTCAGAACTTTACCCACCTGTGGTCCCAACTTATACCCTTAGGCCTGGGGACTTTCATCAAGCTTTTCCCTATGTCTTTGTGTTAAATCATGTAGATAATTTAGGCATCATCCTGGAATTACTGTTTTCCAAAGCTTCTTTTCTTGGTTTGGCCCTGCTTTACCCACAGTTCAATTCTTTCCCCAGTTAGTTGCCATGTCGTACATCCCCCGTGAGCTCCGTGGAAAGCAGTGGGAGGGAGGGAAAGGCATGAAAAGGCCATGGGTAGTCTTGAGGAAGCTTCAGACCTTGTGGCCTTCCTGGCCCCAGGTGATGACCTTGGCCTTTGACCCTCAGCCAAGGAGAACTGGCTTCACGGGCATGCAACCTGAGAAGTCACACAAGGCCCCACACTCCGAAGGACCTGATGCGGCTGTCTGGAACTCTCAATAATTTTCGATCAAGGGACCCACGTTTTCATTTTGTACCAGGCCCCATAAATTAAGTAGCTGATCCTCAAATCTATGGGGTTTCCTGTTGGACAGTGACCAACTGGACCCAGCAAATGCTTTCACCTTGGGACTGAGAATTTGGCCCTGTGAGAGTCGTCCTTCGGGTGACAGAAGAGCAGGCAGGTC